TCTTTCTGTTTATAATTGTGGTAACCATAGCAACTCTGACATATTCAGGGATTTATATAGCACTGGTAGTCAAAATGGTTAAAAAATGTAGTTTTGTTCAAAATTGGGATTATTATTTATATAATAATTACCTTGTAAATTCAGTGTTTTTTAACATTTCATTCAATGTAAACATTTAAGACTGTTGCTATATGTTGCTGTTGTCTGTCAAGTGAGTCACACATTGTACCCATGTGGAGAATCGAACCCGGGTCTTCGGCGTGACGAGTGAATGCTTTATCCACTAGGCTACCCCACCGCCCGTGTCTGTCAAGTACATGTGACAGCTGCAAAAGCCTTAAATTATTAACGATAGTAACTGGTATTATTATAATAAAGTAGCTTGCCACTTCATTGATGGCGTGGCAATCTATAGCCTGTTTTTATATTGTATTATCATTTATAGTTAAAATATTTTAGATTTAATTACTAGTCTTAAAATTATTTTCTGTGATAATCTAGTTGTTTTGATGTCCTTTGCAGACAGGTAAGTATATTATATAAGTTTGTTTTTATTCATTTATAAATGTACAACTTTCTTAGTCACGATATGGCTGAAATACTGCCGATGTGACTTTAAATTTTAACTCACTCACTCATTGATGGTGATGTGGACTAAAAGTTGGCTAGTAGCCAAACTACATCAGATTTACACAGACTGGGGCGTTATGTTATCTCCTGGTGATTTCTGATTGGAGATAGTGGCAAAGTTGAAATGGAAGTTATACTCATGTGCGATATAGAGAACTAGGGGAAGTAACTCTCTTTCATAGGTGAAGGACATCACAAGCATGAACATCATGTGTGCAGGAAAGCAGTCGGCCATCTTGCCCTACCCAGAAGACACTGTAACCAAAGCCTGAATAAATATATGAACCCTTAGTATTTGGTAAATGGCAATTTTGGAACTTTTATTGACAAGTGCCTCAGGCCTTCTTTGTTTATCACTTGGTTTACGGATCCGCTACCCGAAATGTGTAGAAAGTGGGAAAAAAATAATAATTGCTTTTACCCTTTTCTTTTTTTTCGATTATATGACTTCGACCTGAGGCCAAATATATATGTGTGTTTAGGGTAACATGAAATTATAAAACTAGGTTTGTAGGTAGGGTTTATCTTTTGTTTCTTACATTTTTTTTTCATGAAACCACATATTTATGTAATATCAGGCACCAGTTTTGAAAGAAGAGAGGGGAAACCAGTTTAAAAGTTTAACAACTGAAGCATCAACACTTTCTAAATTCAACATTTATGAAAAACAAGAGTAAGTGAGCACAGGTCACATATGGTCGCCCCCAACATTGGGGAGGACATACTGTTGGAAGAGCAAAATGTTTCGCCGTCTTTTGAAAAACGAAAAAAGAAGTTTTAGGGTTGGGAAGTTTGTGATGGGGTCGGTTGGAAAACCGTAAACACACATGCTTTTTGGGGGGCCTGATAAAAAACAAAGAAAGTGAAATGAAAGAATACAAAATAGCAAATTATACCTTTCAAATATTCCCTGAAACTATTTTATATTTACAATAAACGAGAACAATAAACACGAACATTGAATGAGTAGTGCATTCTCCATGTAGGTTGTAGCCACATATAACAGTAAACAACAGTAAACAATGCATGTAATAACCATAAAACCAGGCTCTGCTGTTCTGAGAATAAATTTGCAATTATGGGTAATTTATGTGAATATTTTCTATGGCACACATGTTCAAATGTAAATTTGTTTGGTGAGGGAAAATGGGTTTTACCGTGGCATGAATGGCTGTTGGTCTGATGCGGCTTTGTCACGTGGTTTTGTCTCGTGTGATGGCCCTCTGAGATACAATGCCACTGTTTATATTTGGTACTCGACCCACACATAGGTCAAGGTTTGCACGGGCTTGAAAAATCTTGAACATTTGGACATTTTACCCTGAAAAAGTGCTATATTCGTTTTAGCCTTGCCAGTGATTTGCCCCCCAAAAAACAAACATAATTAACAAAACTTGTCAAGTTATGATTTTGCAGGATAAATAAATACACATAATAAATATACTTTGAAATGAGGGAATATGGTTATTATGAAGCTTTTAACAATATTCCAGTAATATCACAACGGGGACACCAGAAATGTGCTTCACACATTGTACCCATGTGGGGAATCGAACCCGGGTCTGCGGCATGACAAGTAAACACTTTAACCACATGGCTACCCCACTGCCAATTTCAAATGAGGGAGAATGAGGGAGTATGGTTTTATGACGCTTTTAACAATATTCCACTAATATCACGGTGGTGGACACCAGAAATGGGCTTCACACATTGTACCCATGTGGGGAATCGAACCTGGGTCTTTGGCATGACGAGCGGACGCTTTAACTATTAAGCTACCCCACCAGTCCCTTGAAATGACAGTGGGTGTTAAGTAATCTCCATCGTGAAACAAAACAATTCAGCGATGAAGCTAGGAGTTATTTCCCTCTGATGGTCGGCCCCACTTCTGACCAACCTTGAGTGTACTCAACTACAAATGTGTTAAGTAAGTTGCTATAGTTCCTTAAAATTGGTGATTGAGCCTTGAACTGACTGACTGAGTTTGGTTTTACCTCGCTTTTAGCAATATTCCAGCAACATCACGGCGGGGGACATCAGAAATGGGCTTCACACATTGTACCCATACGGGGAATCGAACCTGGGTCTTTGGCATGACGAGCGGACGCTTTAACCACTAGGCTACCCCCCAGTCCCTTGAAATGACAGTGGGTGTTAAGTAATCTCCATCGTGAAACAAAACAATTCAGCGATGAAGCTAGGAGTTATTTCCCTCTGATGGTCGGCCCCACTTCTGACCAACCTTGAGTGTACTCAACTACAAATGTGTTAAATAAGTTGCTATAGTTCCTTGAAAATGCCCTGAAATCTGATGCCTGACAAATCTGTACGAACCCTGTAATTTTACTGATGAATATCCTGGTTAGCATTGGTCTTCGACAGCCAAATAGCAAGAGGCAACTAACGGGATCGGGTGGTCAGGCTCGCTGACTTGGTTGAAACATGTCATTGTATGCCAATTGCGCAGATCGATGCTCATGGCGTTGATCACTGGATTGTCTGGTCCAGACTTGATTATTTACAGACTGCCACCATATAGGTGGAATATTGCTGAGTGCTGCGTTAAACGTTAAAGAAACACACACGGTTTACACAATCGACCAGTCGTTATTCTGTTCCACTAATGTACAGAGCAACACAAGGTTACAACAGGCACTATCTGTCTACTTTTGATTTGTTCCAATTGTTACTGCGCATGTATTATCCTAATATGACAACACTACAACTCCTATGTCCGACAGTCGGGTGTCAGGATCAGAACTTTTAAACTGTTGAATGTTACATGTTTAAACTTGGGGACCGTTCATAATTTATGGTTGGGGGATGATGATGATTTTTATGGAGAAGCATGTACAATGTGAATGACCCCTCCTAAAATTAAAGTACAAAGTAAGTGACCCCCTGCATGTCATGTACAAAATCAATGACACTCCCATTCCCTTAATTTTTAGCCCTTAAAATTTAAAATCATCATCACCCCCAAGCCATAAATTATGAACGGTCCCTTAGTATACAGATCAGTCTGGTGGTGAACTGGTGACTTCCGATGATTTAAGTTTGTTGTTTGTATGAGAATATGTGGGGATATAGTATTCAGCTTGTCTGTCCGTCCATATGTCCATCTGTCTGTACATCTGAACGTCTGTACTAATTTCTTGTCCAGACTACTTCTGTTAAACGAATAGGAACTCATCCACAAAACTTTGCACACACAGAGAACATGTTATCAACTGGTACATTCAGCTTTTAAGGAATTTCTAGAATTTTTATTTTTCCCATGGCAACAGGTTTGACTTTGACTCTGTTCATAGTAGTGTCCTTGTCCGGACCATATCTCTGAAACTAATAAGTATTCATCCACAGAACTTTGCACGCACTCTGACCAAGTTTATATTTTTCCTGTTACCATGGCAACATGTTTAACTTTGACTCGTTTAATAGTCGTGTCCTTGTCCAGATCATATGTCGAAGACTAATTAGTACTCTTTCACAAAACTTAGCACGCACATTAATGAGGTCAACTGGTGCCTTTTGATATTAAGGTATTTTTAGAATTTTTTGTTTTCCTGTTACCATGGTTTTATGCCGCTTTTTAGCAATATTCCAGCAATATCACGCCAGGGGACATCAGAAATGGGCTTCACATATTGTACCCATGTGTGGAATAGAACTCGGGTCTTCAGCGTGATGAGCGAACGCTTTGTATACAGATAGATGGATATATATACTCTGATGAAGTTGGACATATGACTCTTGCAGGACTTGATGATTACCCCGTCATTTTGTGGGAGACGGGTGTGTGTGTATGTGTGTGTGTGTGTGTGTGTGTGTGATCTCTTGATGACTCTTGTTGTATTTTTGTTTTTGATTTCATGACAGCAAGTTTGACTTTACTGAAAATAAGGATAGTGCCCTCAGTTTTGGTGAACCTTTTGCCTTTTTGTGATTTGTGACATTGTATGTGACATTTTATGTTTATTTTCAATGAATTGAAGGTTTCCATTGGCTGTGAACCAAAGGCTGGCTATAGGCCCAAATACATTAGAATTACACCCGACTGGGGTGTTATGTTATCTCCTGGTGATTTCTGATTGGAGATAGTGGCAAAGTTGAAATGGAAGTGTGGTATGTGTGCGATATAGAGAACTAGGGGAAGTAACTCTCTTTCATAGGTGAAAGACATCATGTGCATGAACCTCACGTGCGCGGGAAAACAGTCAGCCATCTTGCCCTACGTAGAAGGCATTGTAGCCAACGCCTGAATAAATATATGAACCTGATGTATAAGGACTTGTGATACTATGGAGACATGCACTTATAGCTCACCTTGATACCATAGCTTCCATTATATTTCCCATGACCACTTGCAGATACATCCCAACCTTGATATGGGGGAAGAGTGGCCACATCCAGACAATCGTGTATGGCAAGATGGGGCGCGTCCAGTACCCGGACCTCAAGGGTGACAGACACGAACACATCATGCCCGATGGCGCCACCTCCACGTTCGATGTTTACCATTCTCTCTCAGAACACCCGTCTGGAGGTGAGGAGGGATGTAATAACAGAGCAGCCAATGAAATTGGGCCTTATACATGTAGTCATGGTATTTAGTCTCAGATTAAACTATTACACTTATATTCCCATAATGTATATTCTTAAACAAATTATTTACATGCCAGTGATTTAATTTAGAATTAAGCATTCTACAGCAATATTATACTAACCAATGAGAGCCATGCTTTGAATTCACATGAAATATCCTTTTGTCGATTATATGAGTCTTTAATTGGTTGTTATTTCATTGACCGTGTTAGAATTGATCTTCAGTAACCCATGCTAGTTGTAGGAGGCGAATAACGGGATCGGGTGGTCAGGCTCGCTGACTTGGTTGACACATGTCATCGGTTCCCAATGCTCATTGTGTTGATCACTGGATTGTCTGGCCCTGATTCGATTATTTACAGACTGCTGCCATATGGCTGGAATATTTGCTGAGTGCGGCGTAAAACTAAACTCACTCACTCGCTCACTTGTTCACTCACTGTTATTTCATTGTATCAATTGATCTGGTGCAAACGATGATTTAACTGCATGTACAGGGATCTTACCCTATTGAGTGAGTGTGACTGACTGACTGAGTGAGTATGGTTTTATGCTTTGCATCCCGTTTCTTGCTTTGCAGTTGCTTCACGCAGCTAACATCACTGGTGGAAACATTACGCTTATGTTTTCCGGACGGTTAAAATGTCTCAATTCGACTCACAAGTTTTCAGCGACACGGTAACGCTCATAATGTTTACATTCCCACAATGCAATCGTGGAATGTCGCTTGACTACTCCGGCTTCATCTGGATGTACTGATCTAAACTTACGTTGGTAGAAGAAATGCGACGCTGATATTGCCCCATATGGTTTACGCACGACAGATGTAATTAAAATAATTCAGAGAAGATATTTAATCCGAACGTAAAACCGCCATCAAACTGTTATCATTTGTTTTTTCTGGTAACGCTCGCCTTTAACGTAGGGGGGCAGACACATCAATAGAACAGCGCACCAGTTAGCCCTGTGCGCAGGATTCTTAATTTAGGTCATCGACAATCGCCATTTGTTTTCTGCCTTAAATTAATCGTAATTATCCTTAGAAAGTATTAAATTTAGCATCTTAGAAAGATAAAGTTCGCTCTACCCATTGTGTTTTGTAATAGTATAGTTTTGCCCTGAACTATTATAACATCAAAGCACTGGGACTACCGCCCTCATGCTTTAATTATAATAGTTCAGGGCAAAACTATACTTTATTACAAAACACATTGGGGTAGAGCGAACTTTATTTCTTAATCAATATTCCAGTAATATCACAGTAGGGGACACCAGAAATGTGCTTCACACATTGTAGACATGTGGGAATCGAACCCAGGTCTTCGGTGTGATGAGCGAACGGTTAAACCACTAGGCTACCCCACTGCCCCTCTAACCTCATTAATGGAAGCAGCACATCTAGCTTCCTGGGCCCCTATTTCTACCATATGTTGTAGGTGACTACTCCATGCTGGTGTGTCCGGGGATCGCAAGCAGCACATCTAGCTTCCTGGGCCCCTATTTCTACCATATGTTGTAGGTGACTACTCCATGCTGGTGTGTCCGGGGATCGCAAGCAGCACATCTAGCAGCACATCTAGCTTCCTGGGCCCCTATTTGTCGGGGGGATCACGACATGTTGACTGTATGTGTGTGTTGCAGGTGACTACGCCATGCTGGTGTGTCCGGGGATCGCCAACTGCAGTGAGAGCCCTTACATCCGCACACTGGTACATATGGCACAGCGGAGCGGCTACAGGGTGGCGGTCCTCAACCATCTCGGAGCTTTGAGAGATGTGGAGCTCACATCACCACGGATATTTGATTACGGTTAGTATGATTTCATTTCTACAACCTGTTGTTGGTGTCCAGTCAACAGCGGTACTCGACACACACGATGTTTAGGCATTTTGAAACCTTTTGTAGCATGAAGACCCTCCACTGGTTTATTTCCTGGAGACTCATGAATGAACTAAAAAATTAAGAAGTTGTCTCCCTTTCTTCTTAGTACTTGCTAACGGTACCAAGAGTTGTGTCACCTGTCTTCCCACTAATGATATAAAGAGTTGTCTCCCCTGTCTCCCCTCTAATGGTCTCAAGAGTCGTCCCTTCATTTCTTCCCTTTGATGTTAACAAGAGTTACTTCCCCTACAGGAAGTACGACAGAGTTCCACCACATGGTGGAGGACATGAGGAAGATGTATCCCAACAGCAGCTTCCTGGCTGTTGGCTTCAGCATGGGCGCCAACATCATCACCAAGTATCTCGGTGAGCACCCGGACAATCAGAAGCACTTCATCTGTGGAATGTCCCTGTGTCAGGGGTACGACGTCATACAGTGAGTAGCACAGATTAACGTGCTGTACGCAGTGGGCCAAATATTTTCTAAATTTTACTAGTCAGTCAGGTTAGCTATGCCTGAAAGTTTCTAGCCCACCAAATACTTCACTAGCCCGAAATATGAATGTAGAAACTAAGCAAAAGATTAGAAACATAGATGACAGTAACATATTGTCAGTTGACATGGGTTTCATCATTAAGCTGCTAATATGGTGAACGATTTTATCAGGCCATAATCTTGCATGATTTAAAACTGTATTATAACTAAAAGTCTTAACAAATCGGAGAGAGTGATATATTTACAAAATGACCCCATGAAAATTCACTAGCAATTTGGGCCAAATGACTGTGGAGATTTACTGGCCTGAATGGATTTTTACTAGTCACGGACTGGTCCGTGGTTCGAATCCAAGCACCTCTGATCTGGCTGGTCAATTCAACACATTCTTTGAATCTGAAATCAGTGACATCAGGAACTGTCTTCAATCTTATCAGTGACATCAGGAACTGTCTTCAATCTTATCAGTGACATCAGGAACTGTCTTCAATTTTATCAGTGACATCGGGAACTGTCTTCAATCCTATCAGTGACATCAGGAACTGTCTTCAATCTTATCAGTGACATCAGGAACTGTCTTCAATCCTATCAGTGACATCAGGAACTGTCTTCAATCCTATCAGTGACATCAGGAACTGTCTTCAATCCTATCAGTGACATCAGGAACTGTCTTCAGGAGCTGTCTTCAGTCCTATCAGTGACATCAGGAACTGTCTTCAATCCTATCAGTGACATCAGGAACTGTCTTCAATCCTATCAGTGACATCAGGAACTGTCTTCAGTCCTATCAGTGACATCAGGAACTGTCTTCAGTCCTATCAGTGACATCAGGAACTGTCTTCAATCCTATCAGTGACATCAGGAACTGTCTTCAATCCTATCAGTGACATCAGGAACTGTCTTCAGTGACATCAGGAACTGTCTTCAGTCCTATCAGTGACATCAGGAACTGTCTTCAATCCTATCAGTGACATCAGGAACTGTCTTCAATCCTATCAGTGACATCAGGAACTGTCTTCAGTCCTATCAGTGACATCAGGAACTGTCTTCAGTCCTATCAGTGACATCAAGAACTGTCTTCAATCCTATCAGTGACATCAGGATCTGTCTTCAACCCGATCAGTGACATCAGGAACTGTCTTCAGGAGCTGTCTTCAGTCCTATCAGTGACATCAGGAACTGTCTTCAGTCCTATCAGTGACATCAGGAACTGTCTTCAATCCGATCAGTGACATCAGGAACTGTCTTCAGGAGCTGTCTTCAATCCTATCAGTGACATCAGGAACTGTCTTCAGTCCTATCAGTGACATCAGGAACTGTCTTCAATCCTATCAGTGACATCAGGAACTGTCTTCAACCTGATCAGTGACATCAGGAACTGTCTTCAGGAGCTGTCTTCAGTCCTATCAGTGACATCAGGAACTGTCTTCAATCCTATCAGTGACATCAGGAACTGTCTTCAACCCGATCAGTGACATCAGGAACTGTCTTCAGGAGCTGTCTTCAGTCCTATCAGTGACATCAGGAACTGTCTTCAGTCCTATCAGTGACATCAGGAACTGTCTTCAGTCCTATCAGTGACATCAGGAACTGTCTTCAATCCTATCAGTGACATCAGGAACTGTCTTCAATCCGATCAGTGACATCAGGAACTGTCTTCAGGAGCTGTCTTCAATCCTATCAGTGACATCAGGAACTGTCTTTCAATCCTATCAGGTGACTATCAGACATCAGGAACTGTCTTCAATCCTATCAGTGACATCAGGAACTGTCTATCACATCAGGAACTGTATCAGTGACATCAGGAACTGTCTTCAACCCTATCAGTGACATCAGGAACTGTCTTCAGTCCTATCAGTGACATCAGGAACTGTCTTCAATCCTATCAGTGACATCAGGAACTGTCTTCAATCCTATCAGTGACATCAGGAACTGTCTTCAATCCTATCAGTGACATCAGGAACTGTCTTCAATCCTATCAGCAGAACACTCCAGAGGGTATTGTTTCATGGTCTACTTGAAGTCCATGCCTTTGCTCAGCCTGACGCGAATAGCCTGATCAGGTCTGCCAAGATAACTATGTGCTTGAAAGATTCAGTTCCAGGTCAGCTTGTGAGGACCATGTTGACACATTACTTCTAGTAATTGCTGCCATCATTAACAAGAGTTTGTCATGTGGCATCTTTCCAAATCTTGGAAGGGGGCAATAGTTAAACCTCATCAAAAATGGAAATTTGGATTCTAACATCATGAAGAATTTTAGAGCAGTTTCAAATCTATCATTCCTGTCAAAGCTGACTGAGCGAGCTGTTACAAAGTGGCAATATTTTGGATGACTTTCAGTTGGCTTACCGACAGCCTCATTCCACTGAGACACTTCTTCTCCATGTTATTAATGACCTCAGGTGCATTGTCGACTCTGGAGAGTTGGCAACGTTGGTGTTCTTGGATTAGAGTCCTGTATTTGACAAGATGAACTAGGAGGAGCTCGTCCACACACCGGAACACCAGGTTGGAACCGGTGGTTCTGCATTGTCGTGACTCTCATCATACTTGACCGACAGAAGTCAGGCAGTGCTAGTGGCAGAGAAACTCTCTAAGAAGGGGGTCTTGTCTTGTGGTGTGAAACAAGGCTCTGTTCTGGGACCTATTCTTTTCCTCTTCCACATGAATCAGCTTCCTTCCATTACAGACAAATTCAACAACGATAATCAACTGTGAAATACACAATGCCATTTTAGAAAGAAGTCAAATGTAACATATGTTATATTTGGGATTACACTTTCTCAGTAAAGTACAGATTCTAGTACTTTTGGGGTTGAGTCCCATCCGGGATTCGAACCCACACCCTCAGAGTCATGCGATGGCTGAGTGGTCTAGGCGTCTGACTTTGTGTGCTGGCGATTAGGTGCCTGATCTAACAATCAGTAACCCATCTTTGGCGTAAGAGGCGACTAACAGGATCTGGTGGTCAGGCTCACGCGATGCCCATGATGTTGATCACTGGATTGTCTGGTCTTGCCTCGATTATTTACAGACCCCCGCCATATAGCTGGAATATTGCTGAGTGAGGCATAAATCTAAACTCACTCACTAACTCCATGGGAGTTCAATGAGACAGACTCTGTAAAACATAAGATAGTATAATACTTAATGGATAACAAGTATATTTATCACGATGCCTCATGTCGGTATAGGTTCTTATACCGCTGTCAAGCAAGAGTAAAGTAATACAGCAGAACCGACTTATATACATGCAACTGGGATTAGGTAAGACAACATGGGGGAATACATCAAAGGGATTAACAACAACAACAACAATGGGATAGGTAATAATACCATAACAATGGGAGGAGGCCAACTGTTGAGGAGGCGAAAAGATATTCATAGCAGATGGGATTAATTGGCAATGATGGCTGGAGTGCTTCTAAGTTCTGTAAAACATGCTACCTACATCTGCACATGATGGGCTTCACAAACTACACCAAGCGCACAATACAGTTGTTCCATTTGTTTCTTCAACATCCAAGTCAGATCACGTTACTCCTATTCTCAAAACCCTACACTGGCTTTCTATTGCATCTGTTATTGATATGAGCTCTTCTGCATTGCCTACAAGTGTCTACACAATCTTGTGCCAACTTATCTCAAGGACCTCATCACAGAACACACACCAACCATATCTCTCCAATCCCAAAACCAGCTCCTGTCTCCAAGATCCGCTTAGGTTTTGGCAAGCGATCTTTCCGACATGCTTCTCCATGTCTGTGTAACTCTCTACCTATCAACTTTAAACTTTCTGATTCTCTTGCAAGTTTCAAATCTCACTTGAATACCTGTCTATAAACCTATCACTAACTCTTTAAACCATTAACTACATTGTGTAGCATATTATCGTCTGATTTTATGTAGCATGATGAGCATGAACGTGGATACAAGCACATTATGAATTAATTAGGTCTTCAGACGAAAGTCTGGAAGACCTACTGTTATTATCCGAATATTATTCTTCTTATTATTTGTACAATTTTTGTGACAGCTCTCCTGACCTAACCGCTTGGTCGATGTTCGTGAAACTTTCAGGGATGATAGCCTGTGTGCTGAAATTGATACATAGTCGAAAAAATCCCGACTTCCGGCTTCCGGTAAGGGCAGACAACCCAAAATGTCAAAATCTTTACACCTGAATAACTCAAAAATTATAAGAGATAAATGTAGACAACATCATTCCCCATCGATTCAACACATAGCGGAAGTTTCGCGGCAGAATAAATTTTCCGTAATTTTGAAAAAACTGAATTTTTTGCCGATTTCCTCGTTTTGACGGTGCCTGTCTTTAAAAATCTTCTTCTCCAGAACGGCATATAGTACAATCGCATTCGATATATCATTTTAAAACCCACACTCCGGACTACTTAAACCCTTCAAGGCATATTGATATCTTGAATAGTTTAAGAGTTATCGCCCTTGGAAGTCGGTGAATTTTTCTAAGACGCATTTTCATAGGGTTAAGAAAAAGGTCAGAAAAAGGTCACAACTCTGCGAAAAATCAATGGATTCCTTTTCCTAAGTACCAATCTGTAGGTAATTGAATGGGAAACATTTTTGCTTCACATTATGATTTTGTAAAATTCAATAATTACGTCACAATTACGACACAAACACAAGCTTCACGATTTGTCACATTTCTGCACGTTTAGACGGTGCCTGTGTTTAGAAATCTTCTTCTCCAGAACGGCATATAGTACTATCGTGTTCTATATATCGGTTTAAAGCCCACACTTTGGACTTCTTAAACCCTTCAAGGCATGTCGATATCTTGAATAGTTTGGGAGTTACTACCCTTGGAAGTTGGTCAATTTTGTCAAAACGCATATGTTCATAAAAATGTCACAGCTCTGACCTTACCTCTGCGACGATTTTCATGAAACTTTCAGGGATGATAGCCTGTATGCTGAAATTGATACAATATTGAAAAAATCCCAACTTCCGGATTCCGGTAAGGGCAGATAACCCAAAATGTCAAAATATTTCAAAATATTTCAACCTCAATATCTCCAAAACTATAGGAGATAAATTGACCAAGTTTTCACTCAATGTAGACAACTTCATTCTCCATCGGTTCAACACATAAAATCAGTCGGGCAGCAGAAGAAATTTTCCGCAATTTTGGAAAAACTGAATTTTTTGTCGGATAATCTGTTTTAACGGTGCCTGTGTTTAAAAATCTCCTCCTCCTGAACGGCATATAGTACAATCGTGTTTGATATATCGTCGGAAAGCCCACACTCTGGACTACTTAGCTTCCTCAAGGCATGTTGATATCTTGAATAGTTGTGGAGTTATCACCCTTGCAAGTTGGTCAATTTCTCCATGACACATTTTCATAGGGTTCATAAAAATGTCACAGCTCTGCGAAAACACAATGATTGTCGTTTTTCAAGGTACCAAACTGTAGATAATTGAATGTGGAACATTTTTGCTTCACATTATTATTATGTAAAAGTAGGTAATTACGCCCCACAATTACGCCCACAAACGGAGGGACATTAGGATTTTGCATTTTGTCAGTTGTAAGATAACCAACTGAAGGAAGCGCATTGTTGCTATATTTTACGGTCGCCTTCAGTTAGAAATAGTTATCTCATCTCACAGGAAGCCAGTAAAAATCTAGCAACAATCGCCGCTTCCTGGTATTCCAGTGCCCACAGAAATAGTTCCCTCTTTAACAGACTGTAACTCTGTTGTTCTTAGGTCTACATTCAAAAGAATTAGTGTTCTGAATTGCCCGGATGTGATCTCCAGCAGTTTGTTTACCAGCCTCACTGTGAGAAGAATACACTTGACTTTTTACCAATTTTAACAAAGTTCGCAACATTTACCAGCATCTCTCTTATAGTATATGCCCTATAAAGAGACTACCACTGCAAAGCGTGGTCCACGGCAGATATGGGAGACTCTATGTGAATTTCACCGACAGATGTAATTGACAATGACAAGGAGCTGTCAAATCTTTGCTGAAACGTCATTCAATGCCCAAAGAAATACTTGCCCTTGAATTGGCCTTTACGTTACATCGGCATTATCCTAGCCATACAGCGTCGCGAACAAGTTTGCATGAATAAACATTGTAAGTACAGAGTCAGATATGAGTTTCATTTCAAATTGTTTTTGAATGGGTGTTTAACAAGTGCACTATATGCACACATAAATCTATGGTTGTTTCACTAGTGCAGTATATGCACATACGTGTGTGCGTCAGATAGCTAGGGTCATGGCGATGACCCAAGGACGGCGGAGGTACACGCTGTTAAAGAGAGAACTATACCTTCTATGGGAACTACTTTAAACGGGTACACGACCCCGCGACTCGGCTGTATTTCACCGATCGGCCGGCGTGTCAAAAAACGGTTCTGCCTGCGTTTTGGACGCTTTCTAGCACTTCAATACACTTCAAACACCCGTAACTCCGAGAGTTAAAATTGACGGTCCAGCTGGTGTCCAAAGAAACGGAACAAGTAAAGGTAGCCACGGGGAGTGTATGGGGAGGTCTGAAGACCGTCAGTATTGCCCAGGAGGCAATCCTATTATTATTATTATTATTGTTTATCTGCCTTCACAGGATCTGCCCGCAGCTGATGAGCTACTTCCTGCCGAGGTTGTACGTCTATGCGATGACAGAGAATATAAAGAAGATTCTACAACGTCATAGCAGCATCCTCTTCAGCTCTTCAGCGCAGGAGAAGTACGGCAGTTTTGACTTGGAGAAGATATTTGACATTGGAGAAGAATATTCAGAACAACAATCACTGGAAGCCTTGGATGAAGTGTATAGTCACACTTGGATGAAGTGTATAGCTGGTAGGGTCAAGGTCACACTTGGATGAAGTGTATAGCTGGTAGGGTCAAGGTCACTTGGACTGTTGTATAGCTGGTAGGGTCAAGGTCACACTGTTGTATTGCAGAAGACCGGTGTAACAGGCCAAACTTTCCCCCTGGCCAAACCTTCCCCAGGGAAACTTTGGCCTAGGACAAACTTTCCCCAGGGTAAGAATATCCTAGGACAAAACTTCCCGGGAAAGTTTGGCCTAGGCCAGATTCTCCCGGGGAAAGTTTAGTCCGGGGAAAAATTGGCCTGCTACACCGGGCTAGTTGAGGTGGGACAGTAAAGGCTTGATAGTTGTGTATGGTTTTAGGTGTGTGAAGGATTACGTCATTTGTTCAGTTGATCTCAAATAAGGAACAAAACGCTTGCAAATTATTTGACTTGTCTGTTTTGAACATGACGTCTGCTCGCGGAAATGCATAGAATTATGATGTCCATTGTTCAGTTTGATCTTTGATATGGGACAGAATGTCTTGATAACTATTTAATGTCTGATCGCAGAAATACTGATAAAGACTATACTTGTCGCTTTTAGTGACAATAGGATTAAATCACATGACTCCGCACAGTATATGTCAGTCACAAGATGTTCTTTGTGCGTCATAGAACATAGGGAGTGAGGTGACAGGGGGACTAGAGGTGACAGGGTGACTGGAGGTCACAGGGCGCCTGGAGGTCACAGGGCGCCTGGAGGTGGGACAGTGAAGGTTTGATAGTGGTGATAAAAATATGGAGTTTGGTCTGTCAAGTTTTACAGTTTCATGTTCTCTGTGGGGTGTTCTTACACAACGTGTGAAGCCCATTTCTGGTGTTCCCGAACATTATATTGATGGAATATTGCTAAAAGTAGCGTAAAACCCAACTCACTCACTCACTCTCTCATGTTCTCTGTGTTGCAGCAAGAGGTTGGGCTTCAAGTGTCTGGAAGACTACTACAGGTCATGCAGCAGTGGGAACTACCTCCACAACGTAAGTCAGTCAACTTGTAGTGGATGCTGTATGTTGCCTAGCAACTAGCGGGAACTACCTCCACAACGTAAGTCAGTCAACTTGTAGTGGATGGTGTATGTTGCCTAGCAACTAGCGGGAACTACCTCCACAACGTAAGTCAGTCAATTTGTAGTGGATGCTGTATGTTGCCTAGCAACTAGCGGGAACTACCTCCACAACGTAAGTCAGTCAACTTGTAGTGGATGCTGTATGTTGCCTAGCAACTAGCGGGAACTACCTCCACAACGTAAGTCAGTCAACTTGTAGTGGATGGTGTATGTTGCCTAGCAACTAGCGGGAACTACCTCCACAACGTAAGTCAGTCAACTTGTAGTGGATGCTGTATGTTGCCTAGCAACTAGCGGGAACAACCTCCACAACGTAAGTGAGTCAACTTGTAGTGGATGCCGTATGTTGCCTAGCAACTAGCAGGAACTACCTCCACAACGTAGGTAAGTCAACTTGTAGTGGATGCTGTATGTTGCCTAGCAACTAGCGGGAACTACCTCCACAACGTAAGTCAGTCAACTTGTAGTGGATGCTGTATGATGCCTAGCAACTAACGGGAACTACCTCCACAACGTAAGTCAGTCAACTTGTAGTGGATGCTGTATGTTGCCTAGCAACTAGCAGGAACTATCTCCACAACGTAAGTCAGTCAACTTGTAGTGGATGCTGTATGTTGCCTAGCAACTAGCAGGAACTACCTCCACAACGTAAGTCAGTCAACTTGTAGTGGATGCTGTATGATGCCTAGCAACTAGCAGGAACTACCTCCACAACGTAAGTCAGTCAACTTGTAGTGGATGCTGTATGTTGCCTAGCAACTAGCGGGAACTACCTCCACAACGTAAGTCAGTCAACTTGTAGTGGATGCTGTATGTTGCCTAGCAACTAGCAGGAACTACCTCCACAACGTAAGTCAGTCAACTTGTAGTGGATGCTGTATGATGCCTAGCAACTAGCAGGAACTACCTCCACAACGTAAGTCAGTCAACTTGTAGTGGATGCTGTATGTTGCCTAGCAACTAGCGGGAACTACCTCCACAACGTAAGTGAGTCAACTTGTAGTGGATGCCGTATGTTGCCTAGCAACTAGCAGGAACCACCTCCACAACGTGAGGTAAGTCAACTTGTAGTGGATGCTGTATGTTGCCTAGCAACTAGCAGGAACTACCTCCACAACGTAAGTCAGTCAACTTGTAGTGGATGCTGTATGATGCCTAGCAACTAACAGGAACTACCTCCACAACGTAAGTCAGTCAACTTGTAGTGGATGCTGTATGTTGCCTAGCAACTAGCAGGAACTATCTCCACAACGTAAGTCAGTCAACTTGTAGTGGATGCTGTATGTTGCCTAGCAACTAGCAGGAACTACCTCCACAACATAAGTCAGTCAACTTGTAGTGGATGCTGTATGTTGCCTAGCAACTAGCGGGAACTAATTCCACAACGTAAGTCAGTCAACTTCTAATGGATGCCGTATGTTGCCTAGTAACTAGCTAGAACTACCTCCACAACGTAAGTCAGTCAACTTGTAGTGGATGCTGTATGTTGCCTGGAAGCAACTAAGCGGGAACAACCTCCACAACGTAAGTCAGTCAACTTGTAGTGGATGCTGTATGTTGCCTAGCAACTAGCTGGGGAACTAATTCCACAACGTAAGTCAGTCAACTTCTAATGGATGCCGTATGTTGCCTAGTAACTAGCTAGAACTATCTCCACAACGTAAGTCAGTCAACTTGTAGTGGATGCTGTATGTTGCCTAGCAACTAGCGGGAACAACCTCCACAACGTAAGTCAGTCAACTTGTAGTGGATGCTGTATGTTGCCTAGCAACTAGCGGGAACTAATTCCACAACGTAAGTCAGTCAACTTCTAATGGATGCCGTATGTTGCCTAGTAACTAGCTAGAACTATCTCCACAACGTAAGTCAGTCAACTTGTAGTGGATGCTGTATGTTGCCTAGCAACTAGCGGGAACTAATTCCACAACGTAAGTCAGTCAACTTCTAATGGATGCCGTATGTTGCCTAGTAACTAGCTAGAACTATCTCCACAACGTAAGTCAGTCAACTTGTAGTGGATGCTGTATGTTGCCTAGCAACTAGCGGGAACAACCTCCACAACGTAAGTCAGTCAACTTGTAGCGGATGCCGTATGTTGCCTAGCAACTAGCGGGAACTACCTCCGTCACCTAGGTCAGTGAACATGTAGTGGATGCCGTATGTTGCCTAGCAACTAGCCCAAGGAAGATGGCACATCCTTGTTTTACACATCCGTCCAAGTCGGCTGTAGACTGGAGTGGTTTCATGAAATATCCACCTCCTCCCAGTCTGTTTAGTTGTGTTGGGGGGTCGGCAATATTCCAGCGATATGACCGTGCCTGTAAATACTGTGGTCCACATTTGTAATTTTGATAAACATTGATAACATTTTTGATGAACAAATTGTTACAGATAAAATTGAAAGGAAATAGGAAATACTACTTTTTCAGACAAGATTGATAGAAAACACAATTCATGATGATTCCTTTCAGGGAATAAAGGTATATTTAAGATGGTGATCCACAAATAATCCCATCTGTATCATAAATATATGAAATTGAATGGAAGTTCTTACTAAAAATATTTAGTACCACAAATAGGAGTGTTTCTAACAAATTTTAGAAATTTTGGTCACACAGTCACACAAATATGCCCAAAACGAGGTGAAACATGCTGCTGAGCAAACATGACAGCTAAACAAACAAACAAGGAAGGTGAGCTCCAGAGACTGTATGTTCATTTCAGGTGACGATACCGATGTTTATTCTGAATGCACTTGATGACCCTCTGGTGCCATCCAGCATTCACTCTATACCACGGAAGTTTGCAGGTAATGACATGTCAGCTGCATGAAACTACCCACAAGCACTTCGAGATCTGGGTTAGAAATGGTCTTCAGTAACCCATGCTTGTTGTAAGAGGCGACAAACAGGATGGGGTGGTCAGGCTCGCTGACTTGGTTGACACATGTCATCGTATCCCAATTGCGTAAAACGATGCTCATGATGTTGATCACTGGATTGTCTGGTCCAAACTCCATTATTTACAGACTGCCACCAGCTTGGGGTTTTCAGCTATTGTTTACAAGCAATGCTTCAGAGCAGTAAACACACTGCTTCTTTTTGCCAGCCATATTTCATCTGAATCTGAAAAGAGAGTGAGTGAGTATGGTTTTACACTGTTTTTAGCAATATTCCAGCAATATCACGGCAGGGAACACCAGAAATGGGCTTCACACATTGTGCCCATGTGGGATATCGAACCCGGGTCTTTGGCGTGACGAGTGAACGCCTTAACCACTAGGCTACCCCACCGCCCTGAATCTGAAAAGACATGTTTGTCAACACTGAACATTACGAAAAGCACACTCTCTCACATGAACTTACACAGTTGTGATGTAACTGAAAGAGTGTATACCATACAGTGGTGTTAAACCCCACTTACTCACTCACACATCCTCTTGTTTCAAGGGGAGATCAGGTAACCTTGGGATTACAGCAGTCACTTGACAGGCAGGAAGGCTGGTTCGACTACCCCCATGGGAACAATGTGTAAAGGGGCACTGATCCAGAGCAATTTCCGTGGACTGGTTGTTGTTTTTGTTGTTGTATTTCTCCTGTGAGTACCCGGATGATATCCCAGAATTCTTGACTGGTTCGTGACCTCTGCTGCGCCACCCGCATGCGCAATTGATAGTATAAGTATAGATTGATCAACAAAGATGAAATCTTTTTTACTCGATAATATTTCCATCTTCATTAATTTGATAACAAATGAAAACATTTTGAAGTTTAACCATCTGCCAGTGGTAACAAATGTTAGGACTGAAAAATAACAAAGTCAATGTACGTTTTTATATTTTGTCTTATAATCCTAATTAGTTTATTATCATATTTGTATGCATTTTGAAACTTAATAAAAAGCACACGATCTGCTTATACTTATAGTGAATTTATAACATGACTGTTAATATCTAGACATTTTATAGATTGCCAACATGAATCATATTTCACACACTCGCCCTAAGTGCGACCTAGTGTATGTTGTCTGTCTCATTGCACTTCACGGCGAAAAAAAATGATTCTGTTGAATGCTACAACAAATGAATAAAAACAAAATGCAAATATTAAAATTAAAACAGACTAAAGTTATAGCAACAATGTCAGGCTATTACCTTGTTCGAGGAATGTATCCATCAATATCCACATAAAGGAACGATATGCCATTCATCTGCAGCTGACAAAGAATCCTGTTCCATGTCATGTGTCTTTTAACAGTCTAATATGCAAAAAAGTGATATATATTGTTTCAGGTTTTTCGCATTGGTGTATAGTCTCATTGGTCACCCAAGATAGCACACCTGGCAACTAATTGCATGATGTCCGCCATTCTTTAAAAAGTAATTTAGTTAGCCAATAATGAGCAATCAATCAATGTATTGGCTGTTAATCCTTTGAAGGAAGGACGTTGTTTTACACAGGCACTTAACGACAGGGTGCATTCAGCATAGAATAGTAAATCTACATACATAAACACTACCTTTTGACAAATCCACTGTGCAAGATAAAAGTAATAAATCAATCAGTGTGTTATCGGTTAATCCTTTGATCGATGTTTTGTAACTCAGCTGATAATTCCTCTTGCTGCACTTCCATGCGCATATTACATAACATGTAATACATTTGCCACATCAGACATTAATTTATAATGTTGAGTATTTACTCCAGACACGAGAAATGCCAAATGGGAACCTTTGTCGGGTAATCTGAGTGGTGTTACCACTAATTATACCTGTTATAAATTCATTAACTGACCATCAAGTGAATGATGACAAATAACATGTGTAGGTTTATACCACCAAACATGGGTTACAGCAAGGGAGTAGTAATCGCTGTATTGCATGCAATTTTAATTGCCTGAAAAACTTATGGGCCGACACTGTTTTGAGGATACGAACGGAACTTCATTGTTGCATAAGAAATACATATAAGCATTTGCTGTGTACTTAAGTTAAAAACTGTATATACCTATTTACCTAAGTAAATTTTCAGATTTTTCTAGCAATGGCAAAGTGGGGTTGTTTAGTTTACGGATTCAAATAAATCAAATGTGTGTTTTAATATCATAGGTAATAGACATCATATTTTTACATGACATGATTAAATATCGAGGTAGAAAAACACAGAAATAGGATCAAATTGGATCAGTCATTATACCTTCCAGGCATTTGAAAATCAGAAAAGCCTACACTGCTGGGATACTTTATTACAATCAGACAAGAACTATCAGGGATATTTTCAAATAACGGCATCTGATGGGGATCCACCCTTCCTAATGTCCCGCTGTTTAGGCTGAAGAAATTCTGCCAAGGTGGACAGTAGACAAGTCCCCGTGTCCATCACGGTCGAGGGAGCAGGGGCTGACCAGCTTGCAGCTAGGTTTCGTAATTAGACTGTTGGCGAGAAACATGAATCGCTCTGGATCAGTGGCCCTTTAAGACCTTTAAATTTAAAAACAGAATGTGTTAGTGTTTTTTAAAGTGGCTTCAAACCACAGTTTTGTGGAAAATAGCATGACGTCAACTTACTTGTTTTCTAGAAACCCATGACAACTGCATATTCGTCGTAACACACCATGGCGGCCATCTTGGATATTTTGAAGGTGGGTATTTGACCCCAAGTCCAATAACATGGATAGACCGGGCAGTGCTGGAGTTTGCCGACGCCATGGTAGCAATGGAGGAAAAACAGCAATAACCTGTGTCAACTTTAGTCAAGAACTCCAGCAGTGACAGTGTTTGCACCCTACCTCAGCTTGTGCAATGAAAATACATCAACTACTGCAGCAGCTACAACACCAGCTTCAACCTCGACAACACCTACCACCAATAATTGTGACTGGTTACTAACATTATTGATTGTAACGTTTATTCACTGTATTTACAAAATATGCTTGGATCACTGCATTATGAATATAGTATGAGAAATCTGTTTTTTAGACACTGTTGTATAATGCTTATCCAATGTGATTTAGAGTTGTGCTATGCGGAGTTACCTCCCGTGCAGTTACCTCCCATACCATAATGCATAATAATGCACTAGAAACCTTTTTTGTTTTCATTGGTGTATTTAGAAATCAGATTTTATGTTTTCTTCACAAAATAAGCTTTTCCAATCACAGTGTTTTGATTTCTGTCACAGTAATATTAAATAGGTACAGTGACAAAATGTGACAATATTTTTTACATTTGAAGCACTGCATTGGATGAAAGGCAACTTACTAATGCGGGTGTATGGATAAAGGGAGGTAACTCCTTCAGTACTATTCTTCCTGAGGATCAGGAGTTGATGTATTAACTTCATGCAAGAGTCGTATTTATCTTTCATGGGGGTGCTTAAAGTGGTTATCAATATCTTTCAGAATTGTTCATTTTAAGGCCCATTTAATCCTTTGTTTAAATGTGGGTTTGTCATCTTTGCTTAAATCTTGATCTTGCCACTCATGTGAGCTAACAGGGTGGTGAGGTAGCCTAGTGGTTAAAGCATTTGCTCATCTTTTCAAAGATCCAAGTTCGATTCCCCACATGGGTACAATGTGTGAAACCCATTTCTGGTGTCCCCTGCCGTGATATTGATAGAATTCTGTTACAAGCGACATGAAATCTACAAAAACCATAGATGACATCCTTACCTTGTCAGCTTGCTTGCTCTTTGGTCATGTGGACAAGGTGGTCTGAAGATCTGTGGTTCGAATCCCTGGACAGGAAATTTTATGGCTGCTAAATGGGCCCCAAGGCTTATAATGTTAATCACTGGATTCTCAGGTCCATACTCTGTTATTTTAAGATCAGAATCACACAATGGACTCACTGGACTAACACAGACAAATGGTTTGGCCCCTGACATGTCTGCCAGTGCTTTTTCACACTGGAATGTGATTTCACTTAAAAGGAAGTGTTCACTGTAACATTTGATTTTGGAAGAGATAAAGAAATGTAATGAGACCTGTTAAATTTTGAGACGCTGGGTCTACAGGGAGTAGGTAGGCAGGATGGTATGAGTAAAGGGAGGTAACTCCAACAACCCTAGTCTACCAGTGAAGTTGCTGCAGGTCTTCCTGTCAGTAAGTTACATAAATCTTGGATTTAGGTCAAGATGAGTGAGTGAGTGTTAGTGTGATATTGGCTATACATTTTGATGTGATATAGCTCTAATTATATGTTAGACCTTGTAGACCATGTGTATATCATTGACATAGACCATAACCAGGCGGGGTAGCCCAGTGGTTAAAGCGTTGACTCGTCAGACCCGGGTTTGATTCCCCACATGGGTACAATGTGTGAAGCCCATTTCCAGTGTCCTCTGCCATGATATTGCCGGAATATTGCTAAAAGTGACAGAAAACCATACTCACTCACTCACCCATGATCTGCTATGATATTTCGAAGACATCGCAGTTGATTGTTGCAGAAGACGTCGGACTGATTGGTACTGATGTCAAGGTCATCACCATTAGCTCGTGTACACGTGATACATAACTTTGTTGGCATCTGTTGAATATGAGGGTACAGAATATTCGGGTCAGCTCTTACTGCCTTGACGTAATGTTGATAGCATGTTGTAAAGGTGGCATGAAACACCATTCATGTCCAGTATCTCCTGGGTTGGCCACGGTGTCTGGGTCATATACTGTGTGTTGTATACTTGGATAAGTGTTGAATGTGTGATCCTTGAATGTGTGTGAATGTTGAATGTGTGAGCCTTGAATGTGTATGAGTGTTGAATGTGTGTGAGTGTTGAATGTGTGAGTGTTTGATGTGTGAGCCTTGAATGTGTGTGAGTGTTGAATGTGTGTGAGCGTTGAATGTGTGTGAATGTTGAATGTGTGTGAGTGTTGAATGTGTGTGAGTGTTGAATGTGTGTGAATGTTGAATGTGTGTGAGTGTTGAATGTGTGTGAGTGTTGAATGTGTGTGAGCGTTTAATTTGTATGATGGCGTTGAATGTGTGTGGCGTTGAATGTGTGTGGCGTTGAATGTGTGTGGCGTTGAATGTGTGTGGCGTTGACCGCTGAATGTGTGTGGCGTTGAAATATCGCGTGAATGTGTGTGAGTGTTGAATGTGAGTGTTGAATGTGTGTGGCGGTTGAATGTGTGTGAGCATTTAATGTATGGCGTTGAATGTGTGTGAACACTGAATGTGTATGAAAACTGAATGAATAAAACTATTGAAAATAAATAAACTAAAAAAGAAACACTGAATGAATGAATGTTGAAATGTGAATGTGCTACATCTTGAATATGAATATGAGCATGCTGAACTCTTAATGTAGTGGGAATATGTATGGCGTGTGAGTATTTTGTAATGAACTTTGAAATGTGCGAGTCTGAATAATGAGTGTTTTATGTATGAACTTTGAATGAAGTCCTCGAATAAGTACGAGCTTGTGAGTGTTTAATGTATATGAACTTTGAAATGAATATCTATGAGTGTGAGAGTGTTTATGTATATGAACTCTGAACGAAGTCTCGAATATGTATGAGCTTGTGAGTGTTTAATGTATATGAACTTTGAATGTATGCGAGTCTCGAATACGGCGTGTGAGTGTTTTATGTCTGAACTCTGAATATGCGAGTCTCGAATATGTATGGCGTGTGAGTGTTTTATGTATGAACCTTGAATGTACAAGTCTCGAATATCTATGAGCGTGTGAGTGCTTAATGTATATGAACTTTGAACGTACGAGTCTCGAATATCTATGAGCGTGTGAGTGTTTTATGTGTATGAACCTTGAATGTACAAGTCTCGAATATGTATGAGCATGTGAGTGTTTAATGTATATGAACTCTGAATGTACGAGTCTCGAATATGTATGAGCGTGTGAGTGTTTAATGTATATGAACTCTGAATGTACGAGTCTCGAATATGTATGAGCGTGTGAGTGTTTAATGTATATGAACTCTGAATGTACGAGTCTCGAATATGTACGAGCATGTGAGTGTTTAATGTATATGAACTCTGAATGTACGAGTCTCGAATATCTACGGGCGTGTGAGTGTTTAATGTATATGAACTTTGAATGTACGAGTCTCGAATATGTATGAGCGTGTGAGTGTTTAATGTATATGAACTCTGAATGTACGAGTCTCGAATATGTATGAGCGTTTGAGTGTTTAATGTGTATGAACTTTGAATGTACGAGTCTCGAATATGTATGAGCTTGTGAGTGTTTAATGTGTATGAGCCTTGAATGTAAGGATATGAAATGTGAGGATATGAAAGAAGTGTATGAATCTCCAGCCTACAGGTAGTGGTGTATATACATAGATGTTCATACTGCATGTGTTGGCGACCAACTCACTGAGGTGTAAAGTAAGTAATGATGTGTGAATGTGTGTCCAATCCTTCATCTGTGTCCTGCATGGATGTATTTATTAGAACTTGTGAGTATTTTTACTCTTCATCTTGGACCAATCTTGTTTGACTGTTGCTTTTCATTATTTCTTGTTTCTCAAGTAGTTGTTGTCGACTGATTTTATCAATCATGTGATTATGTGATATATTGTGGTGTCCAGGGGCACATTCAGGTACACTCTCTGTCAGATATCTGTCATCACTTGTAATAGCATATGTCACTGACAGTAATCAGTTTATACAGCACAAAAGAAGTAACACAATATCCATTTTTTAATCTGTTGTGGTTATTGGATTTTGAAACACATCCTTCCAGTTATGAGAGTTCTGTAGACTGTTTGTGTAGTATATTTCTAAAAAGCTTCCCCTGACGATAGCAAAGGGAGTACTGACAGGTTTTTAAAGATTATTAGAGGTGTGAAAGTGAAGTAGGAAAGAAACAAATAATCTACACCGACCTACTTGCCTAACTACTGTCAACTCATTCAGGTGTACGTCAAAAAGGAGTGAAACAGTTGTGGCATAAACAAAGTAATAAAAAGAAAATGCCTCGGGATTGATTGAAAGATAAAGTGTAAATGTTAATGAGAATGTGTATGTTTGTGCTCATCTCAAATCTGTTGTGGATCTACTGCAGTCAGAAATGGTGAATTATGATGTCATACAGTGTACAATGATGTCATACATTGGTCTGCTGCTGTATTGCTGGGAACAATGGAAGATGATGTCATACAGTGTATAATGATGTCATACATTATTCTGCTTGTAGGAATAGTGGAGGATGATGATGTCATACAGTGTACAATGATGTCATACATTGTTCTGCTTCTATGTTCCTAGGAACAATGGATGATGATGCCATACAGTATACAATGATGTCATACATTGTTCTGCTTCTATGTTCCTAGGAACAATGGAAGATGATGTCATACAGTGTACAATGATGTCATACATTGTTCTGCTTCTATGTTCCTAGGAACAATGGATGATGATGCCATACAGTGTTCAATTATGTCATACATTGGTCTGCTGCTGTATTTCTGGGAACAATGGAAGATGATGTCATACAGTGTATAATGATGTCATTCATTAATCTGCTTGTAGGAATAGTGGAGGAGGATGATGTCATACAGTGTACAATGATGTCATACATTGTTCTGCTTCTATGTTCCTAGGAACAATGGATGATGATGTCATACAGTGTACAATGATGTCATACATTGTTCTGCTTCTATGTTCCTAAGAACAATGGATGATGATGTCATACAGTGTACAATGATGTCATACATTGTTCTGCTTCTATGTTCCTAGGAACAATGGATGATGATGCCATACAGTATACAATGATGTCATACATTGTTCTGCTTCTATGTTCCTAGGAACAATGGTAGATGATGTCATACAGTGTACAATGATGTCATACATTGTTCTGCTTCTATGTTCCTAGGAACAATGGTAGATGATGTCATACAGTGTACAATGATGTCATACATTGTTCTGCTTCTATGTTCCTAGGAACAATGGTAGATGATGTCATACAGTGTACAATGATGTCATACATTGTTCTGCTTCTATGTTCCTAGGAACAATGGATGATGATGTCATACAGTATACAACAATGTCATACATTGTTCTGCTGGGAACAATGGACGATGATGTAATATATTGTACAATGATGTCATACATTGGTCTGACGTATTGTTGGGAACAATGTATGATGATGTCATGCAGTGTACAATGATGTCATCCACAGTTCTGTCACTGTATTTCTGCTGTATTACTGGGAACAATGGAGCATGTTGTCGTACAGTGTATTATGTCTCCATACATGTACTGTTACTGTATTACTGGGAACAATGGAGCATGTTGTCGTACAGTGTATTATGTCTCCATACATGTACTGTTACTGTATTACTGGGAACAATGGCGCGTTGTCGTACAGTGTATTATGTCTCCATACATTGTTCTGTCACTGTATTTCTGCTGTATTACTGGGAACAATGGAGCACAGTTTCATACAGTGTATTATGTCTCCATACATGTACTGTTACTGTATTACTGGGAACAATGGAGCACGTTGTCATACAGTGTATTATGTCTCCATACAATGTTCTGTTACTGTATTACTGGGAACAATTGAGCATGATATCATGAGAACAATAGAATATGAAGTCATACATTGTTCATGAAATCCCATATTGTGTTAACATTATGTCATTCAGTTTCTTTCTAAGACTGATATTTCACATGTTTGGTTTTTTAGCCAAATAGAAATGGGTAATATCTTAAACTTCTGATTCATCCGACAGACTGTATGTTTTTGTATTCATACATGTCATTTCACCTTCTAACAACTGAAATATGCACCCTGGTGACTGCATACTGATAATAACACCTCTGGTTCCTAGTACAAAAAGACCTGTATGGGAATTCCTTGACCAAAATATTTCATTTAAAAATGTTCTTCAAAGTACCTGAAAAATTATTGCCCCGTGTTTTGCTTCTTCTTTACTTTGTTTTAAAGCTGGAAATGCTGGTTGATGTTTTAGAGAAATCTATTTTTGTCTTTGGAAAAAGAAATTGCACATATATCTGGTCAACATGAGCTGTTGTATGGATGGTCCTCTCACATATATTTGGTCAACATGAGCTGTTGTATGGATGGGGCGGTGGGGTAGCCTAATGGTTAAAGCGTTGGCTCATCATGCCAAAGACCCGGGTTCAAATCCCCACATGGGCACAATGTGTGAAGCCCATTTCTGGTGCCCCCCGCCGTGATGTTGCTGGAATATTGCTAAAAGCAGCGTAAAACCAAACTCAGTCAGTGTTGTATGGATGGTTCTCTCACATATATCTGGTCAATAGTAGCCTTGTTTTGTCATTTTTGTTTATTTTATATCTATCATATTATACCATGTTAATAATTATTATATGCTGAATATATTTTTTCAGCCTTTCTGTGATTTTGTTATTTACACATCGCATACATACACACATACACATCATGTGCACACATCACATCACGTATACACATACACATCGTGTGTACACACATGAATACACTATTATATTAGACATATGAATTGACCACCACGCCCACAAACAACACTGACGCCCACATATGAACTGACCACCACGCCCACAGACAACACTGACACCAACATATAAATTGATCACCATACGCCCACAAACAACACTGACGCCCACATATGAATTGACCACCACGCCCTCAAACAACACTGACACCCACATATGAACTGACCACCACACCCATGCAGATGCATTCACTAACACCCCACACTTCACCACACTAAACATGTCCATATTACTCTTGCCTTTCTGGAGGTTAAACCAGCACCAAATGTGTTCTGGAAAGGGAATATTATTTATTTCTGTTATTTTCTTCTATTGTTTGCTTCATTTCTGATACCAGAATAAATCAATGTATACACAAGTCTCTTGTGTTATGTTTTAAGAGATGCGGATGTGGGTGCGTGGGTATTGGATCTGGTTATCACTGCAACAAAGATCAATAAAGGCAAAATACTTTATGGATAGCACCGTCTTTATTATGTTATGTTGCAACATTTCGGTATAGATTCTTATTGCTTGGCAGCAAGTTAGGAATCTGTACCGAACTTTTGGGTCATAACGTAATCAGTAGTTGTCATCCATAACGTTGTTACTGTGACTTCTTCAATGCCTGTGAAACTGACGAAACAAAGCAGCTTCCATATGACGCCTAGTGGGATGACAGCCCGTTATTCAAAAAGAGCTGGGCGTTACTGCGGCCGATTGTTTGCCCTGTCGTCGCTGAAGTTGACGTTGACGTTAACGCTTGTCTTGCTCATCTCACGAAACCTCAACTCAGTCAGTCCCAACTTGTGGTTTTGGCGGTCAAGACAACATCTTTGTGTTTGTGAGTTCTCTGAAAATCGGGGCGGTGGGGTGGCCTAATGGTTAAAGCGTTGGCTCGTCACGCCGAAGACCCGGGTTCGAATCCCCACATGGGTACAATGTGTGAAGCCCATTTCTGGTGTCCCCCGCCGTGATGTTGCTGGAATATTGCTAAAAGCGGCGTAAGATAAAACTCTGTCAGTCAGTCAGTCTCTGAAAATCAGCAGTCTCACGGTCCGTGGAGAAGAGCATTGCCATATTCTGAAAGTTTCTAGGACTTCAGTCCTGCCCCACAACGAAGCGCATGTGACGCATGTGGTCTCACCTTAGGCAAGTGAGTTTGTTCAAAATTGCCTCTGTCCACCCAGCAGTAAAATTGGGTACCTGGTATGATACGATGGTAGTCTGAATTTGAACCTTGAGCGCCTGACAGGCGACCGGTTGTATTCTCCACATGGAGTGTTCTGTACTCGTTGACCAGGGGTAATATGTCAGCGCTTTGGGCATGCAATGTGCATTGATAAACGCGCAATATAAATGGCCTATTATTATTATTATTATTATATTCATAAAAGACACCTGGCGCATACAAAGTGGAGACATCGTAAAGGCGGAACACCTCGTCAGGATGGCCCTAGTCCAGGGGTAGTCAGGACTTGAACACGATAAATATACAATGTTACACATCTGTGCGAAAGAATACCTTTGACTATCTCAAGAAACAGATTCGATTTAGTAACAAAAGGCAAAATAGCTGTGAAAATGGTTTGAATCGATCGCTTAGAATCTGATGACACCCGGTGTTCGCGAAAACGGTAAGCATGTCCTGTTTTCTGTATGCACCCGCCATTCATACAATTTGCCTTAAAAAGAAAATATTTGCAGTCCGACCCCGACTTTCAACCAACCAGACAGTCTAGGTGTTAAAGAAATCTAGTTGTTAATTTTGAATTATTACAGAAATATTCCCACATCGAACCTGTACACGTCGTTTTAAACAACTTCCGGTATATTGCTCACCTATACACATGAATCTGCCCATCTCATCTCAGAGGAAGACCACCTGATTCAGCACCAAACCACACGATGCCAGCGATGGAGAAGTCACTGATGATGAAACCGACACAGCTGCTGTCATTGAAGTCGACTACGTTGAGGTAAACTACCGATGAGGATTGGTTTTCAGCAACCCAGTTTTGTTCCGGGTTAGAATGGGTCTTCAACAAACCAACCTTGTAAGAGGCGACATGAAGCGAAGGATCACACGATGCCAGCGATGAAGTCAAGCTCGTCTGACTACGTTGAGGTTGATGCATGTCATCGTTAGAATCAACCCAATTGCTAGCGGGATCCTGATATATGCTCATCATGGAATCACTGGATTATCTGGTCCATACTTGATATTTATACACCGCCGTGATACAATGAGGATATTGCTGAGTGCGAAATTAAATAACAAAGAAAAACAAAACAATAATAGCTTGTGACATCACAATACACGGTGACGTCACTGACTAAACAAACAAACTTGTTGTGATCCCAACAACCTGACTTACGGACTGTCTCAGGAGATATGGATCCTCAAAAGTGTGTACTCTTTGAAAAAAGTAGGGAATACACTCTGAAACAACTTCAAATTTCCAACATGCTAACAGATAATATTCTCCAGTAATAGTTGTATGAAATTAACAAAACACTTTATAAACGGCCGTGGGGTATGACGGTAGATATGCTGACCCCCAACGACGATCGGGTAAGACAGTTAATTTTAAAGTCGAAGTTTATGGATCAGTAGTGCGACATATCCCCACGATTTCCCGACGATTTACAGCACATTCATTCATTCATTCATTCATTCATTCATCGAGGCATAATGCGCATGAGCCCCTCAATGGCGATTTTGGGGCGGTGGGGTAGCCACTGATTAAAGCGTTATGATGCAGTTACGATATGGTTGAAACATAACTCACTCACTCACTCACTCTTGCAGTGTAACACGAGCGTTGTCGGCCCAGAAAGACAAAACGTCGACCAACACGACATGCAACAGAGGGTGTCGGAATGTTCACCCGTCAGTACTGTCCAGTAGCCCTTGGGTGAGTGAGTGAATCCAAATCTAACGTCGTATCGCTATTATCGCAAGCTGTATCCACGATGCAGTAACGACTCACTGCGCAAGAACCGATTCCAAATCTGTTACGACGTGACATTAACTTGAGGAGTGACTGAGTGACTGAGTTTAGTTTTGTGCCGCCTTTAGGAAATGGTCTTCACACATTGTACCCATGTTTGGAATCGAACCCGGGTCTTCAGCATGACGAGCGAACGCTTTAACCACTAGGCTACCCACAGCCCCTTCACAGAAGAACGCCTGTCACGCAAGTTCAAAGTGAATATGGACGCATTTAAAAACATGTCATGTGGCCGTGGACGATTAGTCCTGTTTCGACGTCGTGTACATCACTGACGACTTCTTACAATACGACGATTTGTAAGAGACATCACAGCAAGTGGTGTAGAGCATGGAGTTGAGTTGCATGTAGACGATTTGTAATCGTCTGACCCATGACTCGTAATCCAGTGACCCGGTGAAGGTCAGCAGCAATTTGTTTCGTCTTTTGAGCTGGATTTAGTAGAGCCCGGTTTCGGATCAAGCGACCCTGTACACTTGTCGTTGACTAACGCTTAGTCTCTGAATATATAAAATTTTAATTATAACAAATAAGGAATGATGGTAATTTTTTATGGAGAAGCATGTACAATGTGAGCGTACAAAGTAACTGACACCCCCCCCCCCGCATGTCATATACAAAATCAACCCCCCCTTCCCATGTTTTTAAGCATAATGTTTAAATATACTCTCCCAAAAAAGAAACGCACATAGGAATTTCAACTGTCTTTTTATGTTTGTTTTGAAACATCTTGTAGGCGTTATGAGTCAATGAAATATAGCGAAATTGCACACTGGGAATTCAGACATATCCGTCTTTGGCACCAACTCGAGGAAAGTCAGTTTGAGTGTCACATGGAGACGTGTGGTGGCGCTGAAGTCAATACCTCGTGTGACCACCGTAGGCATCCAGAACTGCACGGCATCGGCATCGCCTCGGCATCGCCTCGGCATCGCCTCGGCATCGAACGAATAAGTCTCAGAATCTCGTGTTCCCCAATCGCAGCCCACTCTGCCTGTAGTGCCTGTGCGAGTTGCTGAAGTGTCTGAGGCTGAGGGTTACGGCGTCGCACCCGTCTGTCCAGGGCATCCCACAGATGTTCGATCGGGTTTAAGTCCGGGGATCTTGAGGGCCAGGGGAGCACATTGATGTTGTGGTTCTGGAGGAAGTCTCTAGTGTGACGTGCTGTGTGGGGCCTGGCATTGTCATGTTGAAACAACTCCCTCTGGCGATCAATGATTGGAAGGAGGTGTGGGCGTAGGATTTCGTCACAGTACCGTTGAGCTGTCAGGTTGCCCTGGATCATCACCAAATCACTTCTCCTACGGCAGGTGATCGCTCCCCACATCATAACACTTCCCCGGTCGAATCTGTTCCCCTGGGGAACGCAAGCGTCGCCGAAACTTTTACGTCGACGTCTGTACACCCGCATTCTTCCATTGCGTCGTTCCAATAGAAATCGTGATTCATCACTGAACCAGATTCTACGTCAATTCGGTAGGTTCCAGGCCTGAACGTTGGTGCACAATTCCATGTCGACGATGTTGTTGTCGAAGCACAGGGCCAAAATTGGGTCTTCTGGCACGTAAACCAGCCTCTCTCAACCTGTTCCTGACGGTCTGTGCAGAAAGCCTGCCCAATCCGGGTATTTGTCGAGCGGTACTGGTCGCCGTAGCTGTTCGATGACGAGGTGAAGTACCCGGATGTAGCGATCCTGCGCCGCAGTGGTCGCTCGAGGTCGCCCACTACGAGGGGCATCTGCTACCGAATTCTGCAGGCGATATCTCTCCCAGAGCCGTGAAATGGTGCTTTGGTGAACATTCATGCGTCGGGCAACTGCACGTTGAGACTGGCCAGCTTCAAGCAAACCAATGGCGATATGACTGTTGGCTTCACTTAGACGTGGCATTTTGTGTTCGTCAACAATATTCCAAATACAGTGAATACTCGACAGACAGCGATCAACCTTGTATACCCATCATTGAGACTATCTGATCCCCAACTTTCACGTGCATTGCATGTGAATTGTGTATTCTGTGACACTACACGCCGAAATTGAAAAGCATGCTGTTAAATACGGGTATTTTACGGATGGTGCGTTTTGTTGTGATGTTTCAAAACATAAACACCATAGGACTCATAAACAGAGCAAAACCTTTTGCAAAATGAATCTCGTTTTAATTCATTGCTACATGAAATTGCTATTTTCATGATGCGTTTATTTTTTGGGAGTGTATATTTGTACTGTGTACTGTACAAAATTGCTGCCCCCCTCCCCTCCCGCCCCCAGTACATGTGTGTACAAAATTGATGATCCCCGCTACCTCCCCAAAACAAAATGGGCGACCCCCGCCTTAAAATCATCATAAACCCAAACGCACGCACGCACGCACACTCACTCACACATACAAACACACACACACAAACAAACACACACACACACACACACACGCACGCACGCACGCACGCACGCACACACACACACACACACACACACACATGCACCCCTAGTCATAACTTATGAACGGTCCCTTAACTCGGTTGACGCATGTTATCGTGTCCCAGTTGGGTAGATCGATGCTACTGATGTCAATCACTGGATTGTCTGGTCCGGGCTCGATTATTTACAAACCACCATCATATAGCTGCTGCAAACAAATACACAAACAAACAAAGTCGAAAGTGTGCACGCCAATGTTTTAAGGTAAGCTGACTTGTCGACACCGTTTTCCATATCGCATGTAGACTGACATTATTGGTAATTATTTTATTCATTTATCATCGAAAAAATCATTTTCTCTTATTCTACTTTACATTCAAAGCTTGTGCTAGTATAAGATGATTCTTTTCAACACTTTTGTCAAATGTCAAAGATACTTGGATATTGCGTACTCGAAGGAAACTACTTCGCCATGTATTAGCATTTCAAAACTAGAAAATGTAAATGGAACAGTGGTACTGTGGTACATATGCTATTAAAAAAGGTAGGGGAACTTGAACTTTCAATTTTGATAAGAAGTATAAGCGTTCACAAACTTTTCAAAGACAGACTTCTAAACAACATCTAAACAACACCCCTAAACAACGCATGGGATGCACGTGCACAACGTAGCAGCCCCATAGACGTGCATGGGTTTTTGACTGTTTTCAAGAAGGTCGATAAATCACTGTAGACCATTAATTTTGACAATCATCTTGCATCACACAGTTGTTAGTGTTTGTTTCTAGCCGGGGTTTTCTATGTTTGAAAATGAAAATCGTACACGTGCAAATTTCACGTCATACACCAATCATCTTTCGAGAGCAATTACTGTACAAACGACTATGATAATAAGTGCAAGTGGTGTTGCACTCTCAAAACATTCATTATTCTCATATCAACATTGATTGATTGATATATCTCCCATTTCTTTCAATCGTATATTAAAAATGAAGTCCTCCTACTTTTAAAAGAGTATATTTCATCTCACATTTGACCCATGAAGGTCACGGGTTAGAATGAACCTGCAGTAACCCATGCTTGTCGTAAGAGGTGACTAACGGGATCGGGTGGTCAGGCTCGCTGACTTGGTTGATACATGTCATCGGTTCCCAATTGCGCAGATCGATGCTCATGCTGTTGATCACTGGATTGTCTGGTCCAGAGTCGATTATTTACAGACCGCCGCCATATAGCTGGAATATTGCTGAGTGCGGCGTAAAACTAAACTCACTCACTCATCTCACATTTCTGTTCAGAAAATTTGTAGACAAGGTGATCCTCTCCCACCATATTTTTTGCGCCGTGTACTGTGTGCTGAAATTCTTTCAAATTTAGCCAGGAACAATATGAATATAAATGTCCTCACCATTGGTAAAAAAGGAATGTAGGTGGAAGCTATTAATCATTCTGCAAATATTTCTGATTTTCAGGTTTAAAGATTAATTATGATAAGTCACAGGTGGAAGAGAGAAAAAAGTGTTAAATATATGCCTGGTGTGAAATCATAGCGGAATCCAGAATTTTTCAGAATTCCTGGAATCAAATTTTCTACATAAGTAGAAGAGATGGTCAATTTGAACTTCAAAGGTAAATTGTTAGAAATTCAAGAAATAATCAACACATAGTGATACACAAATGTTGTATTTGACGATACACAATTGTTGTGTTTAACGATACACAATTGTTTAGTTTAACGATACACAATTGTTGTGTTTAACGATACACAGTTGTTGTGTTTAATGATACACAATTGTTGTGTTTAACGATACACAATTGTTGTGTTTAACGATACACAATTGTTGTGTTTAATAATACACAGTTGTTGTGTTTAATAATACACAATTGTTGTGTTTGACGATACACAATTGTTTAGTTTAACGATACACAATTGTTGTGATTAACGATACACACTGGTTGTATTTAATAATACACAGTTGTTGTGTTTAACGATACACAATTGTTTAGTTTAACGATACACAATTGTTTAGTTTAACGATACACAATTGTTGTGTTTGACGATACACAATTGTTGTGTTTAACGATACACAATTGTTTAGTTTAACGATACACAATTGTTGTGTTTAATAATACACAGTTGTATAGAACAAACTTTATGGATAACAACTTGTGTTTAACGTGAGTACAACGTTTCGATACAGATTCTTGTACCGTTGTCACATAATGATACACAAATAATATTATCAATAAAGTTTGTTCTATACACAATTATTGTGTTTTAATCCAACTCTCTAAATGCCACTCAAAGAAGTAATACACAGTTGTTGTGTTTAACGATACACAATTGTTGTGTTTAACGATACACAATTGTTTAGTTTAACGATACACAATTGTTGTGTTTAACGATACACAATTGTTGTGTTTAACGATACACAATTGTTGTGTTTAACGATACACAATTGTTGTGTTTAACGATACACAATTGTTTTGTTTAACGATACACAATTGTTGTGTTTAACGATACACAATTGTTGTGTTTAACGATACACAATTGGTTGTGTTTAACGATACACAATTGTTGTGTTTAACGATACACAATTGTTTAGTTTAACGATACACAATTGTTGTGTTTAACGATACACAATTGTTGTGTTTAACGATACACAATTGTTGTGATTAACGATACACAATTGTTGTGTTTAACGATACACAATTGTTGTGTTTAACGATACACAATTGTTGTGTTTAACGATACACAATTGTTGTGTTTAACGATACACAATTGTTGTGTTTAACGATACACAATTGTTGTGTTTAACGATACACAATTGTTGTGTTTAACGATACACAATTGTTGT